TTGCCTATCTATTATACAAAGTAATATCTCTTTGTGGTGGTTTTTTTTTTTTTTTGAGGCAGAGTCTCAATCTGTGGCCCCGGGTAGAGTGCTATGGTGTCACAGCTCACAGCAACCTCAAAACTCTTGGGCTTAAGAGTTAACTCTTAACTCTTCCCTCAGCCTCCCAAGTAGCTGGGACTACAGGTGCCTGACACAATGCCTGGCCATTTGTTGTTGTTGTTGTTACTGTTATTGCAGTTGTCATTGTTGTTTTAGCAGGCTCAGGCCGGGTTCGAACCCACCAGCCTTGTGTGTGGCCGGCACCCTACCCACTGAGCTATGGGCGCCGCCCTTCTCTGTGGTTTTAATTTGCCTCCTGTCATTGGCATCTTTGTTTCTTTTGTACGTTTTGGATCCTTGTCCTTTGTATAGATATAAACTAAAATTTTATTTTACTTTGTGGCTGGTACTACACCTGACGATGTCTTTTTGCTAAACAAAGTTCTTGCTTCTGCAGAAGAATTGGCACAGTGGAAATAATTCTTTTAATGTAGTTGAATTTATAAACTTATTTTTAAGAAATCCTTCCCTGGCCAGGCATGGTGGCTCACCCTTGGAATCCAAGCACTCTGGGCAGCCCAAGCAGGAGGATTGATTGCCTGAGCTCAGGAGTTCAAGACAAGCCTGAGCAAGAACGAAACTCCATCTCTATTCAAAAAGGAATTATGGTAGATTCCTGTTGTCTAGCTACTCAGAGGCTGAGGAAGGAGGGTTGCTTAAACTTAGGAGTTTGAGGTTGCTGTGAGCTAGGCTGATGACATGGTACTCTAAGCTGGGGCAACAGAGTAAGACTTTGTCACAGGAAAAAAAAAGAAAGAAAGAAAGAAAAATCCTTCTCTACCCCAAGGTCAGAAAGATAATTTTCTACATTGTCTGAGATTTTGCAATTTTTTCCTTGTTTCTTTTGTATCTTTAATGCATGTAGGATTTTGTGAATGTCGAATAGGCATCTGGAATGTCAACCTAAAAGGAAGAAGCTAAAGCAAAATTAATACAAAGAGTTTATTTGGGTCAGGGTTGAGGACAGCTGCCTGGGACATACAAGTTGCCTATGGAGCGCTCAGTTTGGCCTTTGTTTTTAAAGACACAAAAGGGATCAAGGAATGAATGGGCTGATACAATGTTTGTTAGTTAATTTACAGAAATATCATTGACTGATGATTTGCCATACATTAAACTATATGTTCTGGTTTAGGGTGTCCATTTTGTGGCAGTGTTAGGGTAATTCACAGCTGCTTGTGACAATAGCAGGTATTTTCAAGAGATGATTACACAGGTAGTGGTGGTGGTCAACATAATTCCTCTTATTTTAATGCTAGTCTAGCCCTGATAATTTAAAAGGGCTTAGATTTCTCAGATGGGAATTATTTGTATATGTTTTCTGATATTTCGCTTTTTCCTTTTTAGATAGCTAATTGACACAGCCCTGTTTATTGAATAGTTTCTTCTTTCTTCACAAATCTGCAGAGCCTCTTAGAAAAATGTCATATGCCATATCCACATGAGTCTATTTTGGGGTTAGCAGTTATAGTCCATTGATCAGCTTATGTATTCTTGGGCTGTTACCACACCATCTAAATTACTATAGCTTTATGAGTAGGGTTTTTTTGCTTGTTTGTTTGTTTTTTTTGAGACAGAGTTTTACTATTTCGCCCTTGGTAGAGTGCTGTGACATCACAGCTCACAGCAACCTCAAACTCTTGGGCTTAAAATGATTCTCCTGCTTCAGTTTCCCAAGTAGCTGGGACTATAGGAGCCTACCACAGTGCCCAGCTATTTTTTTGTTGCAGTTGTTATTGTTGTATAGCAGGCCCGGGCAGGGCTCGAACCTGGCAGCCTTGGTGCATGTGGTTGGCACCCTCCTCACTGAGCTACGGACACCGAGCCCAAAGAGAGGGAGGGTTTTTTTGTTTGTTTCTTTTTGAGACAGAGTCTTACTATGTCACCCTCAGTAGGGTGCAGTGGCATTATCATAGCTCACAGTAACCTTGAATTCTTGGGCTTAAGCAATTCTCTTGTTTCAGCCTCCCAGGTAGTTGGGACTACAGGTGGTTGCCACAACACCCAGCTATTTTTTTGTTGCAGTTGTCATTGTTGCTTAGCTGGCCCAGTCTGGGTTAAAACCTGCCAGCCTCGGTGTATGCGGCCGGTGCCATAATCACTGTGTTACGGGTGCCAAGCCTAGGAGTAGTTTTAATACCATAAAGGAAAAGTATTTGTCTTCAAGAGTATCTTACTATATGTTTAGGATTTTTAAATAGCTTTGAGTGAAAACATTTTTCCTTTTTTTTT